AATGAAACAGACCCCTGAGGGTCGTTCTTTGTTTGAACGCACACTTGTGATGTGCGTTTGGTTGATGACCCAGACCCCTGAGGGTCGGGTTTTGATTGAACGCACTCCTGTGGTGTGCGTTTAGATGATTGAACAGACCCCTGGGGGTCATGTTTTGGATGAACGCACCCTTGTGGTGTGCGTTTGGTTGTTTGAACAGATCCTTGAGGGTCTTGTTCTGACTGAACGCACGGCGTGCGTTTGAATGATTGAACGTGCTTTTGGAGGCCACGTTTTGGGACGCACTCTTGAGGTGTGCGTCTATGTTGAACAACGCGCCACTGAGGGTCGCGTTTGAGTTGGATAACCCGAGGCTCATAGTCGGGTTCATTGCCATGAAGTGTACGTTCTGGAACAGAAACGCACAGTTCTGGCAAAGGTTCAGAAACGCAGTTTTTGCGTTAGGCAGTAGCTCGGCTGTCCCGCAAGTATGCTCGCCGTAAGGATCTTCTCCTTCGTCGAGCAGCATTTTTCTTGGCCTGTTTCAAGGCCTTGGCCGTAGCATCGTCGGCGTTGGTCGGATTCTCCTCCGACATAGGTCTCTTTTGACCTATTATGTGCCGTAGTGATACGGGGGAGGAGTCTTCAACTCGCAGAGCGAGTTTAAGGTCTTGGCCAAAGGAGAGGGCTTTCTTTGGCATCTCAGCAGTAATGATGACCTCCTTAGAGCTCCTGTGGGTATCACGCCTAGCTTTTGGGCCAAGCGACCCAGAGGAGAGAACCTCCTCATACTTGGCTTGGTCGAACTCTACGACGAGAGTTTCGACGGTGGTTCCAGTAAGGTGAACGTCGGATTGCGCCACCACTTCCTCGTCAGAGAAGCTAGTCCCCAGCAGAGTCGCCATCTTTTGTTTGTTGGAAAATTTGCAGTAAAAAGACAAAGAAAGAAAAATTTGACTTGTATTTCTCTCAAAATCAATTACAATTTGGATTCCGATTACAAAAGAGAGGAGAGTGAATTTGATTATCCCCTTTGTTTAAAACTGGGTTCTTCTTGGTAGCGGTGGAGTGCCTCCTTCGATTGATCGCGTCGAACTTGCTCTCCGTTGACGATCCGACCGTCCTACTTCACTGGAACAATTGAAATGCTTGATGACTTCGATTTAGAACTCTTAACGAGTGTAAAGAACTCAGAACGAGTTGAAAACTCTGACAAGAGTTGTTGAAATCTTCCTTCCGATTACTCAACTGCCGAGATTTGTTGACCTTGGGTGGTTTTGATACCAGCTCCCCTCAACTCTTTGCGGTTTTGATCTCAGAAACCGATTGATCAACCTATCAACCCGCCAACCCCTTACTCAGTTGAGTAAGTTGGTTATTTATAGGGTGATGTGGAGTGCAACCAACCCCTATTTCCGCTCCTTTGTGGGCGAGAATCCCTCAGAACGTGGGATAACGGTTTTGAGGCCGTTCGGTTTGCGTTTGAACAAGTCAAAACGCCTCAGTTGGCGTTATGGGCTTTAACTCTGCGTCCAAGGCTTGAGACGCAGAGTTAAATCTCTGTTAGAGATTTGAGACGCACAGGCCGCATGCGTTCTGGAATTGGAAACGCACAGGTCGCTGGTGTGTTGAAGTTCAACTCTGCGTCCAGAGTTTGGGGCACATAGTTGAGCCTGTTGAAGAACACACGTTATGTGTGCGTTTAGTGCTTTAACTCTGCGTTGCAGAGTTAGATATTTGCTGGAGAACGCATAGGGTGTGTGTGTTTCATGATTTAACTCTGCGTTACAGAGTTCAATGTCCGCTGAGGAACGCACAGGTTGTGTGCGTTTTTTAATTCGAGAAACACAGAAGTGAATTTCTGCGTTTGAGAGAGGTTGTTGACTTGTAACCTCATCCATTATAACATTGCAAAGGCTATTGCTTATTGATCTTTGCCTGTTATAGGATATGAGAGTCGTCAGATTGTAACTCTCACTGTTGGTTGTGAAGGCCACTGAACAGAGTTTTCATCAGCTGTCGGAAGTGTCGTCGAATTGTAACTCTTCTCGATCCGTGTGAAAAGTCTCCTATTTGCTATTTGATTGTAGCTTTCGTTGTGAGAGCTTGACGGGAATCAACATCCATAGTGTTTTGAAGATGGATATTTGCCCACAGCTCTCTACCAAGCGACTCACCAACTAAGTCCAACCTTTTATTTCTGAAATCATTACACTGCTCATCAGCATCTCTAATAGTTGCTAATATAATATTAGTCATGCTGTTGTCGCAGCCATCAAGATCAATCATCTCAGAGATGAGGCCGTGTTTATAGCGGTTGCAGAGTTGCGGATGCAGTGATTAGAAAGTCGTCTGATTGTAACTTCCATTATCAGGGCTTGATAGGGATCGGCTACCTATTGTGATTTTTAGACAGCCTACAGTCAAGTTGTCCTGAGCAGTCATGTAAGCACCCTTGGTCTTTTTCTTTTCCAATCCAGGACAATTATATTTGAGATGTCCTGACTGGTGGCAGTAGTTACAAGTCTTCATTGAGTCATTGCCATGAGCATGTCCGCCTTGGGATGGACCTCCTCGGCCCCCAGAACGACCAGTGTGGTAACCTCCTCTCCCTTCAAAAGTTTCCTCTACCCCTTCCAGGACCGCCATTATGACCCCCTCGTCCATAAGACTGCCAACTCTGAGTGGCAAGCGCAGAGCGATCCGTAGTTGATGTTGGTGATTGTACAGGGACAACGTTCTTTAGAAAGTGATAAGTCTCAGCTAGAGAACCAATGGCGGAGCTCCCCATGATTTGTGGTCGAGCAGAGGAGTAAATGGAATCTAGAGTACCCAAGTAGGTAAGTACCATAAGTTTGTTCCATTTATTTTGCATCTATTTTACATCCCAGTAATAGAAAAAATCTAACAAAGTTCCTCAGCCAGACGATTGAACTCACCATAATGATCATCCATGGCTTTACCATCCTGTTTCTTGCGAAGAAACAACTCTTGAATAACTTCATATGCTCGATTAATATTACTGCTACCCCCATAGAGATCTTGCAAGAAACACTAAAGTTCCTTCACGATCATACAATGAAGGACTAAATCCTGAGTTTTAGGTTCCATAGTATTAAGAATCTGATGTAAGAGGACACTATCATCTAATGTTCAAGACTCCGGTGTTGGAGTAGGAGAGTCCGTCAGCAAATGACCAGTTTTGCCTCGGCCCACCACGTAGATTTCAATAACACGCTTCCACTAGAAATAGTTAATTCCATCAAGTTTCCGGTCAGTAATTCTACCAGAAAATATCTCTAAAACTTTCATCTGGACCGTTAACTCAATATTCTTGAGTTCCTTAGATCCGACCATTATGAAACAGACGAGTAGAGATCAAGATGATATCCTCCATAAGTTGTACTCCACAATCAAAACAAGTCCAAGTTCAAGATAATAATCCTTGAATTAGCCAGTAGGCTGAACAAGTCCAAGAACCCGAAGGTTAACAATGCAAGAACCCGAAGGTTAACATGAAACCCGAAGGTTAAAGTTCAAGAACCCAAAGGGTAAATTTTTTTAGAGAACAATTCGTAGATCCAAGTCAGATCCGAAAACAAAGGGACATGGCGGCGGCGATCATTGACGGCGGGCGTGAGTTGTCTAGGAAGATCGAATCGGTGAAGTCGATTTGGATTTGGAGTTTCCTCCGTGGACCACCGATTCAACGATCCGAGTCGGACATGAAAAATGTTTAACGTTGATGTTTCGATGTGGAAACAAGAACTGAAGTGAATATCTTTGAAGGTAAGATAAACACTCTTCTCAAGATCAAATCCAACTTTGAACTCGAGGAAACACAGAGCAAGGTAAGATATACAAGTTGTTAAGGAAGCAAGTGGCAGCGAACAAAGCAAGCAACGGCGACGGTGGCGGACGAAGCAGGCAACGACGGAAATTAGGGTTTAGGGTTTAGGAGAAGGAACAAGGCTGCCAGAAGGAGGAGTCGGGTCTGGAGGAGAGAGGGAGGGGTCGGATCTGGAGGATAGAGGGAGGAGTCGGATGAGGGATGAGGGTTAGGGTTAGGGTTAGAAGAGGGATTAGGGTTTAGGGTTAAGGTTGTTTTGGCAGCTAGGGTTTAGGAATTAGGGTTAGGGTTAGGAACCTTGCTCTGATACCATGTTGATATTTGGAGAGAGAAGAGATTACTGGAGAGATTACTCCCCTCACTCTATACTTTAATATTTATAGTGATGGACTAATTACAAGTTAGTCTCACAAGCAATGTGGGACTAAACTAATACTCTTTTCTACTCTCTTCTAACAAATCTCAATAGTTTCATGAAATGTCCTAGGTTGCTCACATTCTATATCTTATTATGTATGATTCATGTGTATAGATAAATTGTAATGAATTATCTGCACACGTACTTTGTAGGACATAATGTACTTAAATTCATGTAATCATATGCGATTGATTTTGCGTTCAACTTGACTTTGTGGTAGACCTGAATGATCTTATATCGGAAAAGCATTCATATGATTTGAGAGGGATTTCCATATTGGCTTGAACCACCTCATATTAATATTAAAAAAAAAGAAAATAAGAAAAAGAACTAATTACAAGTTAGTCTCACAAGCAATGTGGGACTAAACTAATACTCTTTTCTACTCTCTTCTAACAAATCTCAATAGTTTCATGAAATGTCCTAGGTTGCTCACATTCTATATCTTATTATGTATGATTCATGTGTATAGATAAATTGTAATGAATTATCTGCACACGTACTTTGTAGGACATAATGTACTTAAATTCATGTAATCATATGCGATTGATTTTGCGTTCAACTTGACTTTGTGGTAGACCTGAATGATCTTATATCGGAAAAGCATTCATATGATTTGAGAGGGATTTCCATATTGGCTTGAACCACCTCATATTAATATTAAAAAAAAAGAAAATAAGAAAAAGAAAAAGAAAAAGAAAATTCATGACCTAAGCCTTCACCTTCTTTAGAAAAGAACACCAGCTTCTCTGATAAAAGGAAATAAGTTGCCAAAACCTCTTAATTGTCAGATTTATTTTACACCAATTAACTTGGCATAACATTTGTAACCAAAGTACCAAACATGCAAAGAATCCATCAAACTAAATGTTCTTCCAACCCCTATTAAAACTCTGCCTTATTAGTCTGATCAAAATAGCACCCTGAAGGGCCTCCATCAGGCAAAAGAGCCAGCATTACAGGACCTTGAGCTCCCTCTTCAGGGGTTATAACTCCAGTATTCCAGTTTATATCAGTCTTCACAAAACCTGGATGTACACAGTTTATGTACATTTTTGGGTACCTCTTTGCCAAAACCCTTGTGTATGCATTGAGTACTTGCTTGGATATACTATATGACGGCAGCATCATCGACCACCCGCCAGATTCGAGCTTCCCTTCCTTCAGGTCTTCGAGAAATCTTTTGAGTAGGTTTTCGATTCTGTCTTCGTTTAGGTTTTCAATGTCGTTTAGTTCATTTCTGATCTTTTCACCGGGAATCCTCTGAAAGCGAAATAGAGTATGTTAGCAGTAGTGTGTTGTAGACAGTGAGGTAGAGTACACTCTTGCAGCTTGTCCTAACAAATAAATGTGCATATGTA